TACGTACATACATACGTACATACATACGTACATACATACGTACATACATACATACAAACATATCTGCAAGGTTGCAATAGATACAAATTCTGAACAATAACAGCAAATAATTATTAATTTATTTTGTTACCTGATAAAACGATATAAGACATGACATCTATACTATTGCTATATCTATAGTTGCACGATTTGGCTTTTTTTTCCTTTAGCTGTTGGTGGTAAAAGATGCAGAAGTAAAAATAATGTTTGTATAATTGTTCGCGAAATCGCTGATTAATCCCGGCGATGGAAGTGGGATGAGAAGGACGCGCGTGGAAGGTGTTAACTAAATATTCACTTTGTTTTTGTGTAACTCAGACCACAGTTTGAGCCGTCTTTAATGCGTCTTTAATGCGTCTTTAATGCGTCAAAATTGATACAATCTGACCTGAGAGTGATGAGCGGTGAACAAAATGAGGTGTATATATAGTCTGAGTAAATGAGCGGCAATTATATTAATTGCCGTCCTCTTCGATGAATCGCCCGTGAGCCGGTGAGACACGTGGCGGTCGGCACTCGCGCACATGTGAGCCTGAGTCGTCGTGTTGATGTACCCGAGTAGAGCTGGATGAGCGGTCGCTTTACATGTTAATGCAGTATCTCGGCAGCTGTTGTAATCACTGCGGTGGGCACTTTGATGTGTAGTCACAATCGAAAATGCACAGAGCACACGTCGTGCGTCTGATCACTGCGCGGCCATTTGTACGACTCTGAATATCGCGAGGAAGACGTTGGCGATGAGCGCGCCCGTGCGTGCGCCAGCTGTCGCGGTGATCGGGCGTCGATACCCGATCGATGCTGCCATCTGATCGGACGGCGCAACGTTAACGGAATCTCGAACAATAATTCTGTCCCATACTGCCAATAAACATACACATTGCACCTTATTGCATCAATGAAAAACAACATTAAAAGTTTGTAATTCTGTGCATTATCAAACACTTACATGCAATATCTTTACTCTTTTTTTTAATTGTAATCTCAGATACTTTTACTATTCTAGTTTCAAATTCCTGCCAGTTTTCAATTAATTTGGATAAATTCTCTGGCATTAAAGCTTTAAAATCTTTTTGTATCTAAAAAATAATAATAAGTGAATAACTTATATATTGCTTTTATTTAATTTTAAATTAAAATAAAAAAAGCTTACCAAACCTGGCGTATCTAGAAATCGTGGAAATTCTATAAGTATACTTTTGGAGAGTTTTGGATCCAGTATTATAGTACGTCAATATTTTAATGACTTCTCTTTCGCAGTTTTCAGATATTGCTTAACAGGAGATAGACAAATATCAATGTCGTCATAAGCAGATGATGTACTGGCAGAATTGTTTGTAGCAGCTTCCAAATACTGTTCAATAGGCAATATACAGATGTTAACGTCGTCACAAGCAGACGATGTACTGGCAGACAATGAACTATTGCTGCTGTTGAACACACCATAGATAATGATCCTCTAATACATCATAACAAAATTTTCGAAAATATTACATTTTCTGAATGTACACAATTATATACATATATTACTGGATTTATAACAGACTTACCGGTGACAGCTGAAGTTTCTTTACAAATATTTAAAATAAAGCTATCTGACTGCTTTTCCTATATGTACTCTATCAGATCCTCCGAGTCTATTTCAGTCTCATCTGAATCTCAAAATTTTATTTTGTTATCTTCCACTTCTGCCATAAATTTTTTACGTACTAATAAAAAAAAAATTATTTTAAAATAATTTCCCAGCAAATACAGATACATAACTGCAATGAACATGTACATTGCATGTGACATATATATATATATATATATATTAAGCACATGTTACATAGCAGTTACGTATTATATTCGTGTTTGATAGGCTATTACCATCATTAAAAGAAATGTTACGAAAACAAAATGTATTGGTCAAAAAGCAAATATTAATTTATTAAGCAGTGGAACGTAAAAATAAATCGAATAGCAAACGAACATAATATAATATAAATCTTCGAATATCAGTGAACTTTACTGTTGCAAATAAAAGAAATAAGATGTTTCTTTATTTGTAATTAAGCTATAAATCTCAGAAAAAACCCATACAGCACACATGTTCAAAAGCGGGACATATTAAGACGTCCCGATTTTGGACATGGTGCTGACTGGGAAACATTCATTCAACTGATGCATATCACGTGAAGATTCTGCTTGCCGTTTCTGTGTTACACTGCTTAATATATATTTGTTACAACTTGAAACACTGTATAACTATACCTCTAACGATGAATTCTTCTGCTGAATCACTCGTATTTAAGTGGACGAACTTCTTCACGTTATGGTACTTTATAAGCATATTGTCGAGCTGATTTATCCTCTTTGATAATACACTGATTATTATTACAAACACTTAAATAATTCGACGAAAAAGAAGTCCTATACACTTTTCCGTATATAACGATGGCGCGAATACGAACTAATAACCTGTACACGATACATTGGTTGCTTGTCGCGTCGTCATACCACACGTTGTGAAAACAAAACAATATGGCATCAAAGTTTGACGTCGCGTTTGTCGGTGTAAAAAATTGTCAACAATTTTGGTGTTAAAATTCACATTGAATTGTTTAACTACATGGGTGTGGTGAAATTTCACACCGATATTTTTTAGAGTGTATCCACACGTATAGGTATGTATAAAAAAAATACGTGTCTCTTATTTCTAGAAAATAAGTAAAAGCTTATCAAAATCGGAGAAAGACACTTACGTGAATTTCCTTGTAAGTAATCTAGCTACATTATTTTTAAATTTTCTGTTTAATAAATGTTAATTAGAAATGGACTTTTGACATATTCGCAGTAATAGTCGTAAACAAATTTTTCGAATTGTGAACACAACATGCCAACGTTCGCCGAACACTTAAGATTTTCTTGTCAACAAATTCATGTAAATATTCTGTGCGATAACCTTTGCAATACGTGTAAGTTTCTATTTTTATAATATCTACGATATATAAGTATCGTATCGAGATATCGACAGCAGTACATTGATAAATTAGAGCAAGTTAGAGCAAGTTGGAGTAATCAATTAAAATCTCGAAAGATTTTGTAAGAAATCCAAAATCATGAAGCGATTGATATTTGTTCTATATCTGTGCAGTATCGCCCTTGTAAGTCCTTCTACATTATATAAATATAAGTATTACAATTAAGTTAACATCAAAATTATTATTATTAATGCAAAAAAATGCCTATATAAGATTATAAAATACTATACATATAATATACATATAAATATTGTAAAGGGAAAATTGTTTTTGTTTATATAAAAACTTTTCTCTCAAAGAAATGTTTTATTTTCATCAATCTCATATAGAAGCATTATTATTAATAAATACTCTTCTCCCTCATTAACGAATTTCTTCTCTCTCATTCATCTTCTTTCTAACATAAGATAATTTTATTTTGTTTTAATTAAAATTTCTTAAATTTAACCTTAATTTTTTAATTCTAACTTTTTAAATTTTACTTTTAATTTTATTTTTGTTAAAACAAGATAAAAATGTTGTGTCATATATTAATTATGTTATTGTATTAATAAACTAACATTTAATATTAACATCTATTGTTCCTATTATCACCGTCTATTTTTTTATTAATATATTTTGTTACTGCTAATAATTATTTCGTGTTCATTATAGACAGTAAATATAGGTATCGACGATGTTACAGACAGAGTAGCGGATGTTTTATCGATATCAAAAACCGATGTACAGATCTGTTTTAATAAAACAAATGTAAATGTCGGTAAGTCTGTACGGCAAAAACCGTTATATAATTAAATCTTTCCAAGTCACACACAATATGTGATAATTAGTGCCTTCATTTATATATATTATAACATTATATTATATATTATATAATATTATATATTATTACATTATAATATATAATTTATATATTATAACATTATATTTAAATAATAGTTTATAAAATGGTTTGGAATTTAATAACAATTAAATAATAAAATTAGAATATTCATAAAGAAGTGCGTGTTTGTTCCGCCAATAATAATTAACAAAAGGTGCATATATTTGATCGACTAATAATTGGCAAAAATTTTCATAACTTTACACGATCACGTTTTAACCCAGGCTTCGGGTCTTTCTCAAGTGTTCTAACAACAAACAATTATAAAAATTGCAGCGTCAACACATTGGGTTAATATATGTACGGAATTTAAATCGTGAGTAACAATTAAAAATACCTGATGAGGAAAAAGTGCCATTATTAAACAATTCTCAGTCAACTGTTCGTATCATCCTCGCTGAGTTAACGTTGTATCGTCAAGCACGATTTAAATTCCGTACATATATTAACCCGATGTATTGACGCTGCAATTTTTATAATTGTTTGTTGTTAGAACACTTGAGAAGGACCCGAAGCCTGGGTTAAAACGTCGTGTAAAGTTATGAAAATTTTTGCCAATTATTAGTCGATCAAATATATGCACCTTTTGTAGAATATTCATATTTGTATGTTACTAAACTGTTCCTAAATGTCTAAAATATTTTAATTAAAACAAATAATTGTTTTGTATACATTTTGTTGTTTAATATAAAACTAAATTATCTTGCCAAATAACTACATCTCATCAACAATTTAAATAGATTTAATAAATTAATTCATAAAGAATTTGTGATTTACAGCAGATTTAGTGATGATGGATCAACTAATAAATGACGATGTGGAAACACCGGATATTAATCACTCAGCTTTAAAAGTAGGCTGTCTATTTGCATGTCTGTTGCAGAAAAAAGAATTGGTAAAATTTAAAGATGTTAAAAATAATTTATTAAATATATAGTTTTTTATTTATATCCATTAATAACTCATTATTTTGCAGAAAAATTTTTATTTTTTATTTAATAATTTTTCTTTGGTTTAATAGATTTCTGTATATTTAATTTAAACGTTTTCTTTTTGGCTTAACTAACTTTAACTGTGTGTTTGACAAATCCCACATTATTAAAGTCTTCAAAGATTTAATTATACACAATTTTCTTTCTATATATAGATATTTTTTAAAAAAGATTGCACTTAATTCTTTAAAATGTCAAGTTTAAAAGAAACTTGGTTTTTTCCTTGACACAAAAGTTGTAGATCTCGTCGAAACGTTTTCAAAACACTATAACAAAGTTCTCTTTCGTTAAGAATTTTTTGAGATATTTAAAATTTTGTCTAATATTTTTAATATAAAATATAAAATATCTCGTAAAGGGTATTCATTTTTCGATGACTTTACCTTCATACTTTTATATATAGAATAATGAAGGGAATCGATTGCTGGAAAAAAAACAGAAACAAATTATTTAAAAAAAATTGATTGCATTTTGTGGACTTATATTATTCAATTTTGCAAAATTGCAAATGTAAAAATTAATATTATTATACGCTTCCTTTCATTGTTCTATACGTATAAAATTATGAAGGTAAAGTGATAGAAAAGTGAATACTTCACGAGATATATTTTATATTTTATATTAAAAATATACAAAATTTGAAATATCTCAGAAAATTCTTAACAAAAGAGAGTTTTATTATAGTGTTTTGAAAACATCTCGACGAGATCTACAACTTTTATTTCAAGGAAAAAATCATGTTTTATCTAAGAAATTATGGCTGTACTTCCGAAAACGTGCTCAGATTTAGGTGAAACTTTGTGAATAGGTTCCTTTTAGATAGAAAACACATACCAAAAGGATTTTTTGCGACTCCAAAGTTTAGCAACTTTTTTAACATTTTTAACTTGCTGCCTCCGCGCATACATTTTCCACGCGAAACAAACCAAAACAGCTCTCAAGTAATGTAAACAACCATAAAGTCATACACAAAGTACAAATATATTATTTTGCTGCTTCTGCGTATACATTTTCCACGCGAAACGAGGTGCCACATAAGTTTAAGACTTTCCAAGCGTGAAAAGCTCACGCATGTACTTTGGAGGCACACTATGGGAGGGGGGGAGGGCGAAGCCTCCTATGTAGGTTAGTTGACGCGCTTTAAACACTTAAATACTTTTAAAGCGCGTCACAAACCTACATAGGTTAATTGACGCTCTTTAAACACGTAAATACTTTTAAAGCGCATCACTGTGGCGATATACAATAAAAAGAATTGAAGGAGATCCATTTTATGTATTACTAGATGATATAAAATATGTGTATTCAGAAAATTAGAGAATATATAATATTTCATTATGTGTGTGTGTATATATATATATATATATATATATATATATATATTTTTTTTTTTTTTTATTTATTTTGTATATAAATAAATTAATATATTTGTACTTTGTGTATGACTTTATGGTTGTTTACATTACTTTAGAGCTGTTTTGGTTTCTTTCACGTGGAAAATGTATACGCGGAGGCAGCAAGTTAAAAATGTTAAAAAAATTACTAAACTTTGGAGTCGCAAAAAATCCTTTTGGTATATGTGTTTTCTATCTAAAAAAAACCTATTCACAAAGTTTCACCTAAATCTGAGCATGGACGTTTTCGGAAGTTTCGCCAATATATACATTTAATATTTTTATCTTTGCTTATGCATTATACATATACAATTTCCAGATGGTTGGTACATATATCGATATAGAAAAAGTGAAAAAAGAGCTGGACAAGAAAGTGCGAAATGATGACAACATCTCTATACGAAATCGAATATTAGACAACTGTATCGAGCAAGGTAAATTTATTAAAAGGCATAAAATTAAGTATATAAAAAAAATAAATTTAGAAAATTAAAACTATTTATTACCTTATTCATATTGTAATTATTATTAGTCTCATACACAATTATAAATTAAAATTAATAAAAATTGATTATCATAACTTTATGTTAGTAAAACTCACTGCTATAGCTTATCAGGAATACAAGTTTTCAAGTATAATTTCTGTGTTACAATTTGCTATTGCATCAAAAATATAATATTTAATATAGCATACTGTAATAATTATATTTGTGTATGTATCGTTTCAGTTAAAAACACGACTGACGAATGCAAAGTAATTCTTAGATTTTCTTTATGCGTAGCTGAGGAATCGAGACGCTATGTGAAATCGTGAAATGTATAATAAAATAAAATTAATATTAAATAAAAATTACTATTATCTATGATTTGATAGAAAAATTAAAAATTTTATATAAAGAAGGCATTTTGCAACAAATTAAACTTTTTCTTGGTAAAAATGCAATTATCTCTTTACAACATTTCGTCAATTATATTATCAGACAAATTGCTAAAAATCAGTCAACACCGAATACATGTACATACAATAGAATAAATCTTTTTTTCTTATTAAATCACCAACAATTATTTATTATTTATTATATATTATTTCCCAGCATATTGTGTGTGTGTATATGTTACAGTTAAAACCCGAAATCCGTCAAAACCCGAATTTACTGGTAAATTCTTGTTTTAACTAAGCCTTTTCGATAATTCGCGTTCTAACTGAAAGAATTTAGTTAAAACTAGAATTGACCGAATGCTTTAGTACATTCGCGTTTTAACTGAAGTAATTCAGTTAAAACTAGAATTAACTGACCGCTTTAGTAAATTTGCGTTTTAACTAAAATAATTTAGTTAAAACTAGAATTGTCTGATTGCTCTTAGTGAATTCGCGTTCTAACGTGTCGCCGGCGCGCTTGTCAATTTAGTGAACCTCGCTTTGTAACTTATAATATATAAAGTGATCGAAGCTTACGTGCATGGGAGGGTGCAGGGGGGAGGGCGAAGCCCCCTTCTCACGTTCAAAACAAAATACATTTCCTACCCGGGCACGCCAAAAGCGTGTCCATGGGGGGGAGGGGTGCGGGGGGAGGGGCGAAGCCTCCCCTGGCCGCTCATCAATCCAACCCACACCGCCCAGTGTACGGGGGGGTGCGGGGGCGGAGCCCCCCGCCCACACCTCTAGGTTTACTCACACAACGGGGGGATGCAGGGGGGGCGAAGCCCCCCCGCCCACACATGTACTTTGATATATTATATAGGATATATTGACAAGTAGGGATGCAATATTATTAATATAATTTATGTGATAGACAAATTAATAAATTATTTAATAGAACATAATGTGATAAGTAACAAAATACATTATTCAATTTATTTTATAAATATTGTTTAAAATGTTTCTTTTCTCTCCTATATAATCAACATAATAAAAATATTTGTTACGGAATAAGTTACAAAACCAATATAACCTGACCGCAATGATAATAAACATCATCAATCAGCATTATTTCAAGAATCTTAATTTGTTGGGGATTTCCGCAATTGATTATTGTAAAATTTGTATCTGTCCGTTATATGTATTATACTTTTCCCCGTTTCTGCTTCTCACGCGAAATAATATGTATAAGTTCGGAAACGCCGGAGAGAGCCGATCCGCGTCGAAGGCGAAATCGCGTCAGCATATCCCCACGCGGCTCGCCTGACAACCGGGGTATTTAAGCCGGCGCTCCGACAGGAGCCGGCACTTCGTCTTCGCGACAGCTTTCCGCTGTTCCCGACGAAGCCTACCATCCAAACTCCCAGGGGACACACCAACGAGGTCCGGTGCTCCGAGTCTCGACTGAGTGCTCTCAGGTGTCCCCGAACTCCAGCCTACCAAATCCCGACGATCACGATCCCGCGGGGTCGAGCACGCTCGTCCTCGTAGCGAACCCTCTCGCTGTCGTGGCCCCGGGACTTCACGCGCATACCTACCGCGTAGCTGTAGGCATCAGACGTAAGACCGCGTTTTGAAACTCCGTTATACCGCGACGATCGCACTGGCGCCACCGTCCTTCGTATCGACCGCGTTTCTGCTCGCACCTTATGTAAAGGACCGCGCTCCGTGAGTCCGTCAAATCGCGCCGAGTGCATCAGCACAACTATTCTCTGTAAAGGACCGCGCTCCGTGAGTCCGTCAAATCGCGCTGAATGCATCAGCAGTACCATTTTCTGTAAAGGACCGCGCTCCATGAGTCCGTCACATCGCGCCGAGTGCATTCGCATTACCATTGTCTGTACACACCGCGTTCCGTCACTTTATATCTATTATACCGAATAAACATTTATTGTACATTGCAAGCTAATTACTGTCTTTGGGCCTTCCATTAAACCTCCTGACCCGGCGAGCTAGTCAGCGTTCAACTACAAAACTCGGTCGTTTCATAATCGAAAAAACAAAGCGAAGCCGCACTTGAAATCTCGCGTTTTCTCTGGACGGATCCGGCGTTCCGTTCGGCGTACTCACTACGCACCCAAACATAATTTTTATTTAGTGAATATCTACATCTATATATATAAAGGAAGATGTCCTGACTGACTGACTGACTGACTCACTGACTCATCAACGCCCAGCCCAAACCCTTGAACCGAATTTTTACCAAAAGTATATGAAATAGGGGTAGAATTTTCCGGGGAGTGCCACTATGTGTATAGTTTTTTGTTACCGATTTTCTGGAAACCGGTTTTTTTAATTCTTCTAATTTTTCGGGAAATAATTGACTGAATTTCAAAGAATTATAGATCAAACAGGGGTAGAATTTTCCAAAGAGTGCTATGAAGTGTATAATTTTTCGTTACCAATCTTTTGGAAGCCGGTATCGAAATTTTTTCAAATAATTTTTACCAAAAGTATATGAAATAGGGGTAGAATTTTCCGGAGAGTGCCACTATGTGTATAGTTTTTTGTTACCGATTTTCTGGAAACCGGTTTTTTTAATTCTTCTAATTTTTCGGGAAATAATTGACTGAATTTCAAAGAATTGTAGATCAAACAGGGGTAGAATTTTCCGGGGAATGCTATGAAGTGTATAATTTTTCGTTACCGATCTTTTGGAAGCTGGTATCGAAATTTTTTCAATCTTTCGGGAATTAATTGACCGAATCTGAAAGAATTGTATATGAAGTAGGGGTAGAATTTTACGGCGAGCGCCATAATGTGTACAGTTTTTGTTACCGATCTTTTTGGAAACCGGTTTTTTTAATTCTTTCAATTTTTAAAAACTATAAGGAAGCAATGGGAGTGTCACTATGTGTATAGTTTTTTGTTACCGATTTTCTGGAAACTGATTTTTCTAATTTTTCGATAATTTACCGAATTTTAATTTTTTCTAATTTTAGTATTAATAGTATATTTTAGTGTATTTAGAGTTCTATATATATAAAGGAAGATGTCCTGACAGTATGAAATAGGGGTCGAATAAAAAGATCAGGATGTACAAAATTTATTCCAGGAAAAAAAATATAAAAAAATTTAATATTTACCCCAAAAAAAAGGAAAAAAATAAATATAATGTTAAAATGTCAAAATTTAAATAAATAAAATTTTGTTTTAAAAATATTTAATTGAAACTTGGTGACATTTATGAGTATATGTTCGGCTCGAACTTCTGAGCCGAACATATACTCATAAATGTCACCAAGTTTCAAGGGTAAATCAAAAGATGATATCGTTGATCGGTAAGTGAAATATCGGAAATGCCGAGCTGCCCTAGATATAGAGGTCGATATTGAATCTTAATAATGCGAAAATATACGACGATGCGCCGCGTAGCGGGCGCGAGTCGAACCCTCTCGCAGCGCGAGCCCGCGTTGCCGCTCGCGCCGCACAATCGTGGACGACGGAAGACGCGTGGTGCGGAATTTATCTGAAAGTAATAATTTGGAAAATTGATCCAATTCATATTTTTAAGTGTGCAAGTAGAAACCTGCACATTGCTTACTTATAGTTTTTAAGTGTGCAAGTAGAAACCTTAGCTCACAAAGCTTCCTCTATGAGGAAGCTAAAATAAATAAATACAAATAATTATGCATCGAATAAAATACAAGCTTAAAATAGAGGAAACAATGCAGGTTTCTACTTGCACATTTAAAAACTATAAAGAAGCAATAGGAGTGTCACTATGTGTATAGTTTTTTGTTACCGATTTTCTGGAAACTGATTTTTCTAATTTTTTGATAATTTGCCGAATTTTATTTTTTTCTAATTTTAGTATTAATAGTATATTTTAGTATATTTAGAGTTCTATATATATAAAGGAAGATGTCCTGACAGTATGAAATAGGGGTCGAATAAAAAGATCAGGATGTACAAGATTTATTCCAGGAAAAAAATATAAAAAAATTTAATATTTACCCCAAAAGAAAGAAAAAAAATAAATATAATGTTAAAATGTCAAAATTTGAATAAATAAAATTTTGTTTTAAAAATATATCTTTTCTTTAAAGATTTTTTAAATCAATATCTCGAAAAGCAATGTATTCATTTAATATAAATGTTAATAATTGGTATCTCATTTTCTTGTTTTATGCGTGGCATGCTTCATATATATGTGTCAACTTGCGAGGTTTGTTTCGAATGACAGAAAAGTTATAAACTAACGAATTATTGATAAAAAAAGCTAGAGAGAGAGAGAGAGTGTGTGTGTGTGTCTGTGTAAGGAGATGAAGAATACGTTAGAAAGAGACAGAGTAAGTGTAAAGGACAGAAAAATTATAAAACTATTGCAATTATTGAGAGTAAGAGAGAGAGAGAAAAAGAGAGAGAGAGAGAGTTTTTAAAATAAGAATCATATCATTATTGGCATAATTTCATACTATTCCAGAGAGTTTGTCGTAATTTATTTTTACAATACTGACATATACATGTATATATATCATTATTGGCATAAGTTAGGTTAATTCGACTGTGTTTGTGGGTATATTTCTTATTGATTTAGTAAGTCGAATATTATAATCTTATTTTTAAATATATAATTATAGTCTTTAAAAAGTTTTCTTTATTTCTTAAAGATATCGATAGTCGAATTGGATTGGAAGAAAAAGAATTAAATTATTCTATTCTATTAGAGGAATTGTATTGTCTTAAGAAGAAGAAGACGAAGAGAGAGATTTTTCGGACAGGTAATATTTCAGTGAAAAGGGTCATAAATGATTTCGATGAAACGTTTCAGAAATACTTCTGAATGATTTCAGTATTAATTTCCAAGTTATCTTTTGGAAAGCTTTCAATGATATATGATTTTGATGAAACATTTCAGAAATACTTTTGAATAATTAGCAAAAGAATTATGTTCGGCCCAACTATGTTCGTAGAGATGTAAAGATTGCAATGCTACGTTTATTG